GGGGCACACCTGTGCTGGGCGCACCTCCCCGTGCACCACCCCACGGGGCACACCTGTGCTGGGCGCACCTCCCCGCGGGGCACACCTGTGCTGGGCACACCTCCCCGCGGGGCACACCTGTGCTGGGCGCACCACCTCGCGGGGCACACCTGTGCTGGGCGCACCTCCCCGTGGGGCGCACCTGTGCAGGGCGCACCACCCCACGGGGCACACCTTTGTGGAGCACCACACTCTCTTGTTACTGAGAAATGATGGGACTTTGTTTTTCGGTTCTTCTAGGTGGAGGCTTCGAGTGGGATGATGACTTCTCCTTGGACCCGTTCACATCCAAGGCGACCAGTACCCTTCTGGGCTCCAAGCCGCCCCTGCAGACGTCCAAGTACTTCTCCCCGCCCCCGCCCCCCCGCAGCACTGAGCAGAGCTGGCCCCACACTGCACCCTACTCCCGGTTCTCCATCTCCCCTGCCAGCATCGCCAGCTTTTCCCTCACCCATCTCACGGACTCAGATGTGGAGCAAGGAGGTGAGGGGAGGGTCCCCACGGTTGGGGGCTGGATGAACTGAGGGGCTCGGGGGGAGGGTCCCCATGGCTGGGGGCTGGAGGAGGTGAGGAGGCCAGGAGAGGGTCCCCATGGCTGGGTGCTGGATGAACTGAGGGGCTCGGGGGGGTCCCCATAGCTGTGTGCTAAAGGAAGCAAGGAGAGGGTCCCCATGGCTGGGTGCTGGAGGAGGTAGGAGAATCCTGGGGGAGGGTCCCCATTGCTGTGTTTAGGAGATGCGGGTTCCTCCGTGGCTGTGTGCTGGAGGATGGGAGAGGGTGCGTGCTGTGAGCTGAGCACTACGTAAACTGTCATTTGGGGCACGTGATCTTCCCATCAACCTTCCCGCACACCCTCCATGTGGAGGTTCGTGACCTGGGCATTGCTGACTGTGCCCTGCTTAGTGATGGCTGGAGCCTGCGCGAGTGCCCAGCACTTGTCTGTCCTGTCCTTGCCCCTGCCCCCCTGTCCTGGCAGCTCTCCTGAGCACCCAGGCTTTCCCCCACGTGGGACTCTGGGCTCTTCTGGGTGTGCTGATGTTGCCATTCGACCTCGTGTCTGGGAGATAGCCAAAGGGCAGGTGGCATTTAGTGGGCAGGGGCACATTTGAGGACGTTATCTGAGTGCTGGTAGGTGACTTCTGTGACTTGAAGTGCCCGGTTGGAGGACGGCCTGGCGCTCCCCAGTGCTCCCCTGTGTGTTATTTGTGCAGATTAGATAGCGCCCTTACCTGCTGTCGGGGGTGGTGGAGGGGCAGGTGTGGCCGAGGCGTGTGAGTGCCCGCATGTGTTGGGACCAGAACATCTGGAGGTGCTGCAGACAAGGGGGACAGGCAGCCTGGGTAGGAGTTGGCTCTGCGTCCTCACACTGTCACTGTCCCTGGCGCATGTCTGACAGAGCTCTGCACTTCCTCTCCCCAACAGGAAGCAGTGAAGATGGAGAGAAGGACTAAGGAGGGTCGACACGCCCCTCAGGCCAAGGCTGCACCCTGAGCCCAGGCATCAACTCTGTTTTCTCTGCAACAAGGTCACGAGAACGTGCCAGGCCGTAGGCAGCAAGGTGGGCACAGCTGGCACCAAGGGGCAGGAAGCCACGTGGCACACCTGCGGCCCCTCCCACATGGACAGTACCCTCCCTTGTCTGTGTGCCACTGCCTGATCCGCAGGGGACGCCCTCTGATGGGTCATCGCGAGCCATATTTCTTACTCCAGAGAAGGACGCACTGCTTTCTGTAATGCACTGTGGAAGGCTGCCTGAACAGCTGAGACTGGACAGACCTTAAGCTATTCCAGGACTCTGGAGCAGGCCCCTGACTGAGTCTTCATCCGTGGTCACAGACCCAGCATGGCCCATGTGAGCTCACTCTCCGGGCATCGCTGACCTGGGGAAGCTTCCACACACCGTCGAGGATCAGATTCTCTCATAGGAAAACACGGCTTTTTGAGGGGTTGCATCCAGCCCGATTGTGTTTCTCTTGCAAGGTGGTTCCCCTGCAGCACACAAGGCCTCTCTGTGTGGCTCCCAGCTCACTCCGCGTTTTATAAACCCTCTGGGTGGAAGGACAGATAGCGTGCCCAGAACTCCGCTCTCCCAGGAGCTGGCAGGGCTCCTGCCGAGGTGACTTAGGTGGGTGGGCAGTAGGCTGAGCCTGGGACCCATAGCGCCAACCAGTTGTCCACTCTGTGAAGGCCAGGCTCCCTTGGCATCACCCAGCACCTCCCCCTACTAAGGTGGTGGTAACTTGGCCCTTTGAATAATTCTTAGAGCTGACTTTCAAGCCCTCCAAGTACATCCAGGTGAGGGCAGGTCACTGTCATCTGGAAGAGACAACACATCCTCCTGAGAAGGGGACACTCCCACACACATCCAGCACCATGTTTCACCCTTGCTGGGAACAGCTGCGTGTGTGCAGCAAAGCTTCATCACGTTGGTCAGAGTTGGCCCTCCTGTCACAGGAGGCTTGTGGCGGGAGCCTTTGGTGCTGATGGGTCCTCGTGGGCAGTGCCACATACTGGCCCATCAGCCAGGGCGTTCCACTGCCCAGCCCCCAGGGCCCCTGCTGGCCAGTTGAGGACACAGAGAGCTTTGTTTTGGTTCCTATCTCTGGTGAAGTGTGACCTTTAGTCCCGGCTCTGGTTCACTCACTCATCTTTGACACTAGCAATAAACTTCCAGATCAGGACCCCACAGAGGGGACCTGCCCCCCTGTGACCCTGCCTCTGTGGACCCGGGACCCAGGCGTCGCAGGGACCGTGGGATCTGCTGGTGCAATCCCAGGAAGACACGGCAAGGGGACACCCGACAGTGACTTCGCCAAACTTGTCTTAACTCGCAGCTCCTTGCTCAGACTCCTCGATTTCTACATCTAAGTGGTTGGTTACCTGTCTTGCGGAGAGAAGTTGTTGACTACACCTTTCTTACCTGGTTGTCTTTTTAAATCATAAATGTAGGCAGTTGAGATTTCATGGTTAAATCTAGCAGATCATAGAACATGGTCGTCTTGTCTGGTCAGCCCTTCATGCTTTGGGGCTCTCTACACCAGGATTAAGGGGATTTGAATGTCATTCCCATTTTATTTATATTTTTAAACCAAATCAGCTGCTATCTTGAACTTTGACTTTAGTGAAAGGTGGGATTTTTTTCTGTTTGTTTCTTCTTCCCCAAAGTCTCTTGCTCATAATTCATTGCCAAAAAGAAAAATGCATTTTATCTATTGAGTTGGGAGGGTCCTCTGGGTCAGACCTTGCTGTGGTGGTGCATGGATGGGAAGGTGGCATATTTATGCTGAACACGCGAGACCTGTCCTTTCGATGTCTGGAGCAATACACAGGAATAAATCATCAAGGGTGTCCCTGTCCCACAGTAACACGCCAGCTTGTGCTTCTGTCTTCCGTTCTGTCTCTTGATACATTCAGTACAAGTGGCAAGTTTTCAGGTCTCATTTGTTCTAACAAGTCGTGCAATGAACTCCAGATTCCACTCCATGATGTGGGCGAGGATGTTACCTGGCCGCCTCGGAGCCGAATGTCCAGAATCCCTGAGGTTCGAGACAGACTGTCCCGGGAGGGGTCTCAAGGCTGTCACTCCTGGAGTCAGAATAGCCAGGCCATCATGTCCTCCCTAGAAAACGTCGATTTGTCTTCTCAAACGACCCGCGTTGGAAACCAGGAGTGGAAACCCATTGAAAGTGCCCCCAGAACCATGCTCTGACTATCTAGTTCACCCACTGTCCGTCCGTCTGTTCCCCTATCATCTGTCCATGTCCTGATGGCGCCGACTTGAAAGCTGAACATCCGTTTTGTTTGTGGCTGCTGTTGCTGTTTCTGCAGGACTGGGGGTTACCCCCACAAGCCCATAAGTGTCCTGCCGTAAAGTGCCGTCCCCATCTCCTTTGTCGTTCCGCTTGGGGGTGACTGCCGGTGAGTGTAGGGCTGCGCGGGCCCCTGCAGGGTCGGGTCCCAGTGTTCATGGTTCCTTGCAGGGGCTGGCCTTTCGCTCCAGCCTGAGAAGTAGACTTGCTCATGTGCAATCCAGATATGAACCCCACTCTCCCTTCTGTAGTCAGTGTCCGTTCAAGTCTTGGCTCCGCAGAGAGATGCTGCCTTCGTGTGCAGACCGCCTCCTGGGGACGAGCTGCCCGTATTCTGCACCGGCGGCCAGGTGGGAAGCTGCCAGGCGAAGCCGGCCCGTCCTCAGCACAGCCTCAGGCCCAGGAGACACCACTAATGACAACCTTTCAGTTTCAATCGTGTACATTTTTAAATTGTAAGATTTTTACTGTATATTGATGCATAGTGTGATTCAAGAAATTGCTTGTAATTTAAAAACTATTTAATATTCAAAAATAAATAGTTATATATTTATAAACTCTGCTGCTGCGTTCATTCCTGTCTTGTCCCCTCGGGGACGCTCAGCTGCGGAGTCGCTGCTGAGCCAGGCAGGTCCAAGGCCGTGATTTGTGCAGGAACCCGCTGCCCTTGTCCTACAGAACGGCTGGTGGAGCAGGTCAGGCGCCCCCACGCTCCTGAAGCCACGACAGGTGCCCAGAAAACCCAGCGCTGCCCAGTGCCTGTGCTGCTTTCAAGTGCAGCCCTTTGTATTTTCACATCCGAGGACTTCATCTCACAGATGAGCCCCGAGAGGTCTTTCCAGACCCCTCATCCAGCCCTCATCACCATCCTGAGGGGTCCCCTCAGGCCCCACCATTGAAAGCATGACTCAGAACGGCCCAATCCCCAGTCCTGAGACGGGTGGCAAGTGACCCTGCGGAAGGGCTCCTTCAGGTGTCCTGGAGGTGGCAGTGGTCACCCTGCTACTAGCATGCCACCTTGTCCGCCCTCTTGTAAATGCCCTGGTGGCTCAGTGGTTAACCTCTTGACTTGGAACAGCAGTTTGAACCCACCAAGTCAGTTTCCACATGGGGTTTGATTTTGGTAAAAGTTGTTGAACAGGAGGCACATACAGCTAGTGGTGGGAGATGAGGCCATGGTGGTCCAGCTGTAGAATTCTTACCTTCCACTCAGGAGACCTAGGTCCAGCTCTCGGGCGCACCGCATGAGTAGCCTGTCAGCGGGGGGGTGTTTGTTGGCTAGGATGGAGAAGAGATTTCAGCCAAGCGTCCAGGCTAAGAAAGGCCTGCTGAGCTATTCTGGAAAAACGGACAGTTCAAAGGCTCCGGGGTCTCAGCAGGCTGATCTGCAGCCAATCACGGGGACGGTAGAGGAGCACAGAAAACTCAAAACTCCAAACTCATTGCCGTCAAGTAAATTTGGACTCAGCCACACTGTAGGACAGAGTAAGGTTGCCCCCTAGGATTTCTGAGGCTGTAAATCTTTGGAGCAGACAGCCTCGTCTGTGCCTTGTGCTGCTGGGACAGAGGCTTCAGCCCACCATGGAGACGTCAGGTTAGTTCTTCTTGACTAGACAGCCCTTGGGAGAAGGTGACACCATCTGAAGCCCAGCTCCTGTGACAGGTGGTCTGGCGTCTGGGTGGGGTGCAGCGGCCTAGCAGACTCCTTGTCTCACAGCAGCAGGGTCCCATGGGGGTGTGGGTTGAGGGTAAGCACTAGTGGTGCGGTGGGCTAACCTACAGCAGGGTCCCATAGTAGGGTACGGTCTGAGGGTGCTGGCAGGCTGGGAGTGGGGTGAGGGGGCTAGCAGGCTCTACACCCCACAAGAGCAGAGTCTCAATAGGGGGTGCAGACTGAGGGTGGGCTAACCTAGCAGCCTCCATGCACCATAGGAGCAGGGTCCCTTGGGGACTGCAAGCAGACGGTGGGGTGGGGGTCTAATAGGCCCTGTGGCCCATCGGAGGGTGGCCTTGATCTTCGGTGTCATCAGAAGCCCCCAGCTTCACCCACAATAGTTAACATGGCCCCGTCTTACAGCTAATCGCCAGGTGCGCGGCCAGGTGCGGCCGGGGCTTTTCCGCCCGGGCGGCCTCGGGCTCCGCATTGGCCCACAGCGCAGCTCCGCCGCTCAGGCCAGCTGCTTCCAGGCACAGGCGCGGGGCTCCCCACGGGCCCAGGTCGGTGTGGGCTGCCCTGGGGGGCGGGGAGGGGGCGCGGCCCCGGTCCTGGCGGCCCCGCCTCGCCCCCGGCCGCCCCGCCCTTCCAGCTCATTTACATGCGTCCGCGCCCCGCCCGGGGCGGCTAAAGCGACGTGTCCTTGTCCCCCGTGGGCAGCCGGCGCGTGCAATTGCGGATCCACAGGTAGCCGGGCGCGGAGGCCGGGGCGGGGGCGGGGGCGCCACGTGGCGGGTTTGGGGGCTTTGCACGGTGACCTCTGACCTGCGGATCTGCCCTGTGCCTGCCTCATGGGTCACATTCAGGACCAGAGTGCGGCCCCCGGGTGGCTGTGGGTCTGCAGTTACGGGACAGCCGGCCAGCGGAGGTTCCTCCAGGGTTGACTCCGCAGGTTCCCGCAGGTGCACGGTCACTCGAGACCAGGCTTAGGGAACACCATCCAGGGACTGGAGAGCTCTGAGGGTCGCTGTGTGACTGGAGTGACCTGTCCCTCCCGGTCCCCGGTCACTCACCTGGGCAGCAAGGAGGCAGAGGAGCTGATGCGGGACAGGCGGCCACCCGGGTGCCGTGTGCGTCCCCGCCCCGTCCACTGGCCGGTCCCCTGAGAGCCCCCGGGGAGTGACTGGGGCTCCCGTGTTGTGTATTCCAGCTCCTCAACACCCGCCATGAAGACCAAGAGCAGAGCCTCGGGGCGCCGGGCACCCCCGCCGGGCGCAGAGGCGGCGTCCGGGGAGCAGACGGAGCACTCCCAGCAGGCCGCGGACCCGGAGGCGACCCGGGGTCTG